TGCTTTTGGTGTTTTAGTCATGAAGTTCTTACTCATGCCTATGTCCTGAATGACATTGCCTAGGTTTTTATCTAGAGTTTTTATGGTGTTAAGCCTCATGTTTAAATCTTTAATCCATCTAGAGTTAATTTTCGTGTAAGGTGTAAGGAAGGGATCCAGTTTCAGCTTTCTGCATATGGTTAGCCAGTTTTCCCAACATCATTTATTAAATAGGGAATCCTTTCCCATTGCTTGTTTTTGTCAGGTTTGTCAAAGGCTGTAGTTGTGTGGCATTATTTCTGAGGCCTCTATTCTGTTCCATTGATCTATATCTCTGTTTTGGTACTAGTACCATGCTGTTTTGATTATAGTAGACTTGTAATATAGTTTGAAGTTAGGAAGTTAGGTAGCATGTTGCCTCCAGCTTTGTTGTTGTGCTTTTTTTTCTTTTTTTTTTTTTTNTTTTTTTTTTCTTAGGATTGTCTTGGCTAAACAGGCTGTTTTTTAGTTCCATATGAAGTTAAAGTTGTTTTTTTGCCACTTCTATGAAGAAAATCATTGGTAGCTTGATGGGGATAGTATTGAGTCTATAAATTACTTTGGGCAGTAGGGCCATTTTCATGATATTGATTCTTCCTAACCATAAGCATGGAATGCTTTTCCATCTGTTTTTGTCCTCTCTTATTTCCTTGAGCAGTGGTTTGTAGTTCTCCTTGAAGAGGTCCTTCACATCCCTTGTTAGTTGTATTCTTAGATATTTTATTATCTTTTTAGCAATTGTGAATGGGAGTTCACTCATGATTTGGCTCTCTATTATTGGTGTATAGAAATGCTTGCAATTTTTGCACATTGATTTAGTATCCTGAGACTTTGCTGAAGTTGCTTATCAGATTACGGAAATTTTGGATTGAAACAATGGGGTTTTCTACATATACTGTCATGTCATCTGCAAACAGGGACAATTTGACGTCCTCTTTTCCTATTCAAATACTGTTTATTTCTTTTTCTTGCCCGATGGCCCTAGCCAGAACTTCTAATACTATGTTAAATAGAAGTGGTGAGAGTAGGCATCCTTGTCTCATGCCAGTTTTCAAACACCATGCTTCCAGTTTTTGCCCATTCAGTATAATATTGGATTTGTCATAGTCCCTCTTATTTTGAGATATGATCCATTGATACCTAGTTTATTGAGAGTTTTTAACATAAAGTGCTGTTGAATTTTGTCAAAGGCCTTCTCTGCATCTATTGAGCTAATCGTGTGCTTTTTGTCTTTGGTTCTGTTTATGTGATGGATTACATTTATGGATTTGTGTGTGTTGAACCAGGCTTGCATCCCAGGGATGAAGCTGACTTGATCGTGATGGATAAGCTTTTTGATGTGCTATTGGATTCAGTTTGCCAGTATTTTACTGAGGATTTTTGCATCAGTGTTCATCAGGGATATTGGCCAGAAACGTTTTTTTAGCTGTGTGTCTGCCAGGTTTTGGTATTGGGATAATGTTGGTTTCATAAAATGAGTTGGGAAGGATTCCCTCTTTTTGTATTGTTTGGACTAGTTTCAGAAGGAATGGTACCAGCTCCTCTTTGTACCTCTGGTAGAATTTGTCTGCTAACCATCTGGTGCTGGACTTTTTTTAGTTGGTAGGCTGTTAATTGCAGCCGCAATTTTAGACCTTGTTATTGGTATATTCAGGAATTCAACTTCTTCTTGGCTTAGTCTTGGGAGGGTGTAAGTGTCCAGGAATTTATCCATTTCTTCTAGATTGACTGGTTTATCTGCATAGAGGCGTTTTTAGTAATCTCTGACAGTAGTGTTACCCCTTTGCCATTTTTTTTATTGCATGTATTTGAACGTTCTCTCTTTTCTTTTTTTATTAGTCTGGCTAGTCTATCTATTTTGTTGATCTTTTCAAATAACCAGCTCTTGGACTTATTAATTTTTTGAAGGGATTTTTTGTCTCTATCTCCTTCAGTTCTGCTCTGATCTATTTCTTGTCTTCTGCTAGCTTTTGAATTTGTTTGATCTTGCTCCTTTAGCTCTTTTAATTGTGACATTAGGGTGTCAATTTTATATCTTTCCTCACTTCTCTGGTGGGCATTTAGTGCTATAAATTTCCCTCTAGACACTGCTTTAAATGTGTCCCAGAGATTCTGGTACATTGTGTCTTCATTCTCATTGATTTCGAAGAACATCTTTATTTCTACATTCATTTCATTATTTATCCATTAGTCATTCAGGAGCAGGTTGTTCAGTTCCCATTTAGTTCTGCAACTTTGAATGAGTTTCTTAATTCTGAGTTCTAATTTGATTGCACTGTAGTCTGAGAGACTGTTTGTTATGATTTCTGTTCTTTTGCATTTGCTGAGGAGTGTTTTACTTGCAATAATGTGGTCAGTGCCACATTATTGCAAGTAAATAATAAGTGCCATGTAGTGCTGAGAAGAATGTATATTCCGTGGTTTTGGGGTGGAGAGTTCTGTAGATGTCTATTAGGTCAGTTTGGTCTAGATTTGAGTTCAAGTACTGGATATCCTTGTTAGTTTTCTGTCTTGTTGATCTATCTAGTATTGACAGTGGAGTGTTAAAGTCTCCCACTATTACTGTGTGGGAATCAAAGTCTCTTTGTAGGTCATCAAGAACTTGATTTATGTATCCGAGTGCTTCTGTATTGGGTGCATATAGATTTAGGATAGTTAGCTCTTCTTGTTGCATTACTCCCTTGACCATTATGTAATGCCCTTCTTTGTCTCTTTTGATCTTTTTTGGTTTAAAGTCAGTTTTATCAGAGACTAGGATTGCAACCCCTGCTTTTTTGCTCTCCATTTGCTTGGTAAACGGTCCTCCATCCCTTTATTTTCAGCTTATGTGTGTCTTTGCACGTGAGATTGGTCTCCTGAATACAGCCCACCAATGAGTTTGAATTTTTATCCAATATTCCAGTCTGTGTCTTTTGATTGGGGCATTTAGCCCATTTACATTTAAGATTAAATACTGTTATGTGTGAATTTGATACTGCCATTTTGATGCTAGCTAGTTGTTTTGCTGTTAGTTGATGCAGTTTCTTCACAGTGTCAATGGTCTTTACAGTTTGGTATGTTTTTGCAGTGGCTGGTACTGGTTGTTCCCTTTCATGTTTAGTGCTTCCTTCAGGAGGTCTTTTAGGGCAGGCCTGGTGGTGATGAATTCTCTGAGCAATTGCTTGTCTGTAGAGGATTTTATTTGTTCTTTGCTTCTGAAGCTTAGTTTGGCGGAATATAAAATTCTGGGTTGAAAATTCTTTCTTTTAAGGATGTTGAATATTGGCCCCCACTCTCCTCTGGCTTGTAGGGTTTCTGCCAAGAGATCTGTTATGAGTCTGATGGGCTTCCCTTTGTGGGTAACCCAACCTTTCTCTCTGGCTTCCCTTGACATTTTTTCCTTTATTTCAACCCTGGTGAATCTGACCGTTATGTGCCTTGGGGTTGCTCTTCTCAAGGAATATCTTTATGGTGTTCTCTGTATTTCCTGCATTTTAATGTTGGCCTGCCTTGCTAGGTTGGGGAAGTTCTCTTGGATAATATCCTAAAGAGTGTTTTCCAACTTGGTTTCATGCTCCCTGTCACTTTCAAGTACACAGATCAAACATGGATTTGGTCTTTTCACATAATCCCATACTTCTTGGAGGCTTTATTCATTTCTTTTCACTCTATTTAATCTTGCCTTATTGCTTTATTTCATTGAGTTGATCTTCAATCTATGATATCCTTTCTTCCACTTGATCAATTCAGCTATTGAAAGTTGTGTATGCTTCATAATGTTCTCCTGCTGTGTTTTTCAGCACCATCATGTTGTTTATGTTCTTCTTCATGCTGGTTATTCTTGATAGCATTTCATCTAATCTTTTTTCAAGGTTCTTAGTTTCCTTGCATTGGGTTAGAACTTGCTCCTTTAGCTTGAGAAGTTTCTTATCACCCACCTTCTGAAGCCTGCTCTTGTCAATTCATCATACTCATTTCTTCATCCAGTTTTGTTCCCTTGCTGGTGAGGGGTTGTGATCCCTTACAGGAAAAGAGGCGTTCTGGTTTTTGGTGACTTCGGCCTTTTTGTGCTGGCTCCTTCCCACCTTCATGTGTTTATCTACCTTTGGTCTTTGAATTTTTTGACTTTTGGATGGGGTTTTTGAGTGGACATCCTTTCTGTTGATGTTGAAGCTCTTTCTTTCTGTTTTAGTTTTCCTTATAACAGTCAGGTCTCTCTACTGCAAGTCTGCTGGAGTTTGCTGGAGGTCCACTCCAGACCCTGCTTGCCTGGAAATCACCTGTGGGGGCTGCAGAACAGGAAAATTTGCTGTGCAGTGGCAGAAATTGTTAATGTCCTGGAGAATGTTGAAATTGAAAGTGCCATTTTCCAGCCACTGAGAGCCATTATCTCATTTATGTTGGGGCCAGGCCATATTACAGTAGAAAATTGATCTTTGGGCCTTACTTCAGACTGGAGACCAAGGGTATCCAGATTCTGGAGAAGACATCCTAAGCGGGTAGTTTTAGACAGAACAAATTGGCTAGACCCCATGGTAAAAGGCCAGAAGTGGAGGAGGCTGCCGAGGAGAAGGAAGACAGGAGGGAGTGTCCTCTGTCCTGTTTTCTTTACCTAAGACAGTGACTTCGGAACAGTCACTGTCGAATTAGGCATCCCCAAGATGACAGGACTGAGGACCCTGGGACCAGAAGTGTGTCCTCAGCCCAGTGCTGGGATTTTCAGACAGAAAATGAATGGTTGAGGAACCCATATGGAGACAAACCTCTATCCAACTTACCAGCCAGGAAGTGATGATTTGGTTGGAGATAACTGTAGTTGGCAATGGAGGTTTGGGGTTTCCCTCCTGGGTCTGGAAAGGGGTTTGGAATCAAGGTGGGGGGGTCCTAGCCATGGGAGCAGGGAATGAGAGAGAGAAAGAGTGGCCAGTACCTACTCCCATCCTGGGTTTCAGCACCAAAATGTAAGGTTGACAGAAAGGTTGGAGAGGCAGACCCATGGTCAGGTTTAGCAAGTTTATTTCAACCTGCCAGGCTGGCTGCCTCACCACAGGGAGTGAAGGCAGCAGTCTGGCTTACAGACTATGGGGGTTATATAGGGAGTTTGCAGGTAGCCAGGTGCTATTCTAAGAAAAACCGCATCTTGGTTCTTAAGGGCTAACATTCTGCTTAATTGGGTCAATGTTCTGGGTTCGAGAGCTGGGTACAACCACATCCTGGAACCTAGGTGTCCTGTTTACAAGGCTTGAAGCTGTTTTTGTTATGGGCTTGGCTTAGCAGTGAAGAATGGGGAGGGTGTCTATGGGCTTGCTTTGCTGTGACTCTAATAAAAACTTATGATAAAGCTACAGTAATCAAATTAGTTTTGTACTGGCGTAAAGACAGATACAGAAGTCAATGGAATGAAACAGAGAGCCCGGGCTTGGTGCAGTGGCTCACGTCTGTAATCCTAGCACTTTGGGAGGCCACTTTGGGTGGATCATGAGGTCAAGAGATAGAGACCATCCTGGCCAACATGGTGAAACTCTGTCTCTACTAAAAATACAAAAATTAGCTGGGCATGGTGGCACGTGCCTGTAGTCCCAGCTACTTGGGAGGCTGAGTCAGGAGCATTGCTTGAACTTGGGAGGCAGAGGTTGCAGTAAGCCGAACTTGTGTCACTGCACTCCAGCCTGGCGCCTGGTGACAGAGCGAGACTCTGTCTCAAAAAAAAAAAAGCCCCAAAGCAAACCCTCACATATATAGTAAATGATTTTTCAACATGGGTGTTAAGACCATTCAGTGAGGGAAAAGACAGTCTTTCAATAAATAGTGTTTAATCCAGCAATTCCATTTCTGGATTGTACCCAAAAGGATTGAAAATAGGGACTTGAAGAGATTTGGTATACCCATGTTCACCGTGGCATTATTAACAATAGCCAAAACATGAAAGCAACTAAGTCGCCATTAATGGAGATAAAATGTGGCATATTCATGCAACGGACTATTGTTCAGTCTTTAAAAAGGAATGAAATTCTGACACTTGGCACATCATGGATGAAATTTTTTTGCTGATGTTAGTGAAATGGTATGTCCTTTAAATTTAACTTAATGTAATTTTTTTTAACTTTTAGAATCTGGGGGGTCCATGTGATATGTTTGTTTAAAAGGTATAGTGCCTATGGTTCTTATCTTTATGTCCATGTGTACCCAACATTTAGCTCCTACTTATACATGAGAACAGATGGTATTTGATTTTCTGTTTCTGGGTTAGTTCACTGAGGATAATGGCTTCCAGCTGCCTGCCATGCAGATGAACTTTGAGGCCATTATGCTAAGTGAAATAAGCCATTCACAAAAGGACAAACACAGCAATGATTTCATGAATATGAAATATCTAGTGTAATCAAATTACTAGAAACAAAGTAGAATAGTGGTTGCCAGGGTCTTGTAGGAGGGGGAAGAAGTTATTGTTGAATGGGTACAGAGTTTCAATTTTGCAAGATGAAAAGAGTTCTGTGGATGAATGGCAACAATAGTTGTACATTGTGAATGCCACTGAAATTTACAGTTAAATGGTTAAGATAGTAAATTTTAAATTATGTATAATTTACATACATACATTTCAAAGAAAGGTATTAGACCAAACTCCAGGTCTTTTAGTTTTGGGAAAAATTTTAGATCCATAGTTATGACAGAGAACAAGGGAAAGTGGGAAAATAAATTTTGTTCTTGCCATTCTACATAGTCCATGCTAAAAATCTATAGAACATTAAACTTTTCTCTGATTAAAATTAGTCCTTTGCAACAAACAACAGACAGTAACATGATTAAATAATGGGTGAGTCATGTGTTCTGCCAAGGACTATTCTTCACAGGACCTTAGGTAGGATATAGCATCTTAGAAAAGGCGGCTTTGTGTGTTTGGCCCCAAAGCAGGTGTGCTATGGAGAGGAAGGGTGTTTTAGGGTTGGAGGGAGAAGGGTGGAAGTTTAAAAGCTGTACTTTAAGACAAATCATGTGCAACATGGATATATTAAACATGACATATTACTATGCTCATAGAGAAGGGAGCATAGAAATAAGAAAAATGTATTCTGTTTTTCAGTCACAGAGAGCCTTGGCGTATAGATCCTTTTAGGATATTTTCTACCCTAAAAGGATATTTCCATTATTCATCTTTAATAAAAATGTCTTAGTGTACATTTTTAACTTTTAAAAAATGTAATAATATATTTTGACTTTTTCCATGTTAAAATAATTCTTGAGCATCTCCATAATTGGTTTGTAGAATTTTATAATTTACCTAGTAAATTTTACAATTTACATTTACCTACCCTTTCACAGGGAGCATAATATGCTTTGCATTTTAGAAACATCATGCCAGCAGCTTGCAGGAAAGTTTAACTCAGCCGCTTCCTAGCCCAGCTACTTAAGAACCATAGGATTTTCAGAATGGTAAATCAGCACTGGCTTTCAATTAAAGTAACCAGCTGCATGTGTCCCTAACAAAAGAGTTAGACTGTTCTTTGAAGCCAGGTATTGACTTCTCCTCTTTAGCTATGAAAATCCTAGATGGCATCTTCTTCCAATAGATGGCTGGTTTGTCTGTTGAAAATCTGTGGTTTAGTGTAACCACTTTCATCAATGATCATAGCTGGATTTTCTGGATAACTTGCTGTGGCTTCCACATCAACATTTGCTTCTTTACCTTGTACTTTTGTTAGCAGTGGTGAATCTGTATGGGTCTTCAGCAACCTCAATGCTTGCCTCCTTAGAAGAAACAATTTGACCAAGAAGCATAAGGCGAAAGGAGACTGAGGCAAGTTTTAGAGCAGGTTTCAAATTTTATTAAAAATTTTTATAGCAGGAATGAAAGGAAGTAGAGTACACCTGGAAGGGGGCCAAACAGGTGGCTTGAGAGATTCAAGTGTGCAGTTTGACCTTTGACTTAGGGTTTCATATGTTTGCATACTTCCGGGGTCATGCGTCTCTTCTCTCCTTATTCTTTTCTTGGGCTGGGCTGTCCGCATGTGCAGTGGCCTGCCAGCACTTGGGAGGGGCCGCATATGCCGTGTAATTACTGGAGTTGTACGCATGCTCATTTGAGGCACTCTTCCCTCACCAGCCAAGTGTTCCTAGGGTCATATACCAGTTAAACTCTGCCGTTTTGCCTCTTAGTACACATGCTTGAGCACAGTCACCCAGTTCCTGAGATCTTAACAGGAAGCAGCTGATCACCACCGTCAGGTGTTTTCTATCTACTCAGAGCCTGCTGTTGGCTGGTGCCAGCTGTGAGCAATTATTATCTTAGAGAGACCATTTAACCACCACCTGAGCATCCCCTCACGATTGCCTTTTCAGAAGACGGAACTGCCTGACGTTGCTGGTGAGTGGAGGGCTCTCTCCGGCCCTGTTCATGTCTATTAGTACTTTTATGCTATGGAGACAGCTTCTTTCCTCAAACCTCATGAACCAACCTCTGCTAGCTTCTGACTTTTCTTCAGCTGCTTCCTCACCTCTCTCAGCCTCCATAGAGTTGAAGAGAGTGAGGGCCTTGCTCTGTACTAGGCTTTGGCCCAAGGGAAAGTTGTGGCTGGTTTCGTCCTCTGTTCAGACCACTCACACTTTCTCCCTATCAGCGATAAAGCTGTTTTGCTTTCTTTTCATTTGTGTGCTCACTTGAGTAGCGGTTTTAAGAATGTTTCCTTTTCATTCACAGCTTGGCTTACTGTTTGGCAAAGAAGCCTAGCTTTTGGCCTGTCGCTGCTTTAGATATGCCTTCTTCACTAGGCCTAATTTTTTTTCTAGCTTTTCATTTGAGAGAGATGCGACCCTTCCTTTCACTTGAACACTTCGATGCCTTGGGACGGTTTTAGTGGTTTAATTTCAATATTGTTATGTCTCAGGGAATAAGGAGGCTGGAGGAGAGGGAGAGAGATTGGAAACAATTAGTTGGTGGAGTGTTCAGAATGCATACAACCTTTATCAAGTTTGCTGTCATATGGATACGGTTTGTGGTGTCTCAAAACAATTACAGTAATAACATCAAAGATCACCATAGCAGATATAATAATAATGACAAAGTCTTAAATAATGTGAATATTGTGAGGATTACCAAAATGTAACACAGAGCCATGAAGTGAACACATACTGTTGGGAAAATGGCACTGATAGGCTTTCTCAGTGCAGTTGCTGCAAACCTTAATGTGTAAAAAACAGAATATCTGAGAAGTGCAATAAAGGGACATACAATTCAGCGAGATATGACTGTATAATAAATTTTGTTCGAGTTCTGAATTATAAACTACATGTGATTTAAGTTGATCATTTAAATTGTTACCATTAATATGGACATTCTATCTTTAGGATACTTCTAATATGTTAATATATGGCTTTTTTTTCTTTTTAATAATTGATGTTTTAATTTCTGGGATACATGTGCAGAATGTGCAGGTTTGTTACATAGGTAAACATGGGCCATGGTGGTTTTCTGCTCCCATCAACCTGTCATCTATGTTAGGTATTTCTCCAAGTGCTATCCTTCCCCCTGTTCCTCTCCCCTGACAGGCCCCAGTGTGTGATCTCCCTGTGTCCCTGCTTTCTCATAGTTCAACTCTCTCCTATGAGTAAGAACATGCAGTGTTTGATTTTTCTGTTCTTGTGTTAGTTTGCCGAAATATATGCAAATGTATTTTTAAAAGTGATTTTCTCATGTAAACCCTGAGAAGTTTCCTCCAATTTTCACTGGGGAAATAAAATAGTGGCCTGAAGATTTAGATAGTTGTTTTTCTATTTTTAGAATAAAAATTAAATTCTGAAGCATGGTTCACATCACCAGTTTGCTTAAATACTAGGCAATACTAGTTGGTTTCCTGCAGTTTTCTTCTTTTACCTTTTTTTTGATGCATAATGGATGTACACAGTTTTGGAATCCATGTGAGAATACATTTATATAATTAGTAGAGATCAAATCAGGGTGCTTGGGATGTCCATTACCTTAAATATTTGTCCTTTCTTTATGCTAGATCTATTTGAATTATCTTCTGGCTATTATGAAATATACAAGAGATGACTGTAAACCAGAATTACCCTACTGATCTCTTTAGCTCTGGGTCTTATCTCTTCTGTCAAGTCACCTATTTGTACCCATTAATCAATTTCTTTTCATCCTCTTCTTCCCTACACTTTTCTGAATATGTCAGTCTGTCTTTCCTCATTGCCTTTGCATATGTTTTCCCCCGTGTCTGGAATATTCTCCACCA